CGAGCGCCAGTGACGGCATACGGAAGAGGGCAAAGCGGCTGTCCGAACCAGCACACCGCCCAGGGAGCTCACTGTTTCTCCTAAATCATTCTCCGAAGTCAATAACGAAGCTCACGCACTCACCTGGCACACAACTCGCATCCTGGGCAGCTTGTAACGCAGAGGTCTGATCCTCTTCTAACCCAGCTGCTGTGGGGTGTGCGAGTTTTTGCTCTGGGCTATCTTACATTCACACTATTAGACAGAGGAATCCAGAAAATCAAGCAATATAGAGAAAACATTACCCAAAAAAAAAGAACCAGTATCGCTGCCCATGTCTGCCAAATGCCTACTTAGGTAGGCAATGGCAATACAAGCAGCTCCCTTAAAAAGCCCCCAAAATGAAAATTTACAGAATGCTTCTTGCTGAAAGTTTAAGTTTCTGAGAAGAGAACTCTACCTGATTAACAATTTTTATATTTCCTATAGGAAATACTACTGAAAGTTCAAAAAGCCCAAACTACTACTGGAATAAAAGGAACCTAGCTGAAGCTCAGCATTGCATTTCAGCATTGCCCATGCCCTGGAATTCAGTCTTCCTAAAAATTTTCAGGATGTGAAGAGCCAATTACAATGGATTTAAACACTCTATTGTAAATTCTTCTGAGAAAAAATAACATACTTGTTTTTCTCATACCTGTTGCAGATGCTCTGGTATCCCCAGCTCCCTCTTACCTCCCATGAATCCATGGTCCACCAGCACAGAAGGATTACCCTGTATGATTCTAACCACTGGAAGAGGAAGGTGGGTGGAATAACGCTATAAACTACTTTTTAGAAGAAATATTTAACATTTAGGAAAGAAGTGGCCTTTAGTTGTTTATCTCATCTGTGCTCCCATCTCACAATTACTCTTGTTACTTCACGACACTTAAGCTCAAATTTATTTATTTGAAGACACAGTTATCAAAATAGTAATCTGTGAAATAACAACTGGAAATATAAATAATCATATTCACAGAACCTACGTAGAAACATTTCTCCATCCCTATGCCAACTCTCTTTTACCCAATCATGGATCTCTTCCTTCCCCGTAGCCGTACTTCATCCAGCTTTTTGATCACAGGACCAGATTTTTTGGACGTATCTGCATAGGTCTTTAACAAAGCTTTAAACACAGCTTCAGCATCTGGATGAGTACTAAGGAAGGCTTTTTCCAGAACATACAAATCAACTCCTTTATCCTCCGGAAGACCTGAAATAAAACTGAGTCCAAAGTCTATCAGCACCAAGTCCAGCTTCTCCACAGGTGGCCGCAGAAGTATGTTGGAAGTTGTAAGATCCCCATGTATGAGATCTTCATCGTGCATTCTTGCTAACAGCTCACCCATCTTCTCTCCTAAGGTAAGGAGGCTACTGGTGTCATTTCCACTCTGCTGTACAGAAGAAATATGAACCTGAACAGTAATAGAGTCTACAATATCTTCAAGATATATGGAGTTCGTGACATAATCCACAAAGTAGACCACTGGAGCTGGAATACCTATTTAAAAGAAGAAATTAAATGCTACTGGTTAGTTTGCAAGATTTTCTTACTGTATTTTAACCAATAA